GTTCACAGTTTGTAGAGGTTTCCATTCATAGTCCACTGGTTCCGAGGTGGGGCAGCTCGTGGCATCCAGCGAGAGAAGGAGGAAGGTGAAGGCAGAGAGACCCTATGAGGCCACACCCCGAGCGACCCACTCCTCCAATCAGGCTTCACTTCCCAACGTTATGTTTAGCTATAAACGCACCACAGGACCAATCCGCGGATGAGTTCACACCCCCTTGATTCCATCGCCTCCCCAAAGCCCCACCTATAAGCACAGAGGCTTGGGGGAGGCATCCAGACATTAGCCATCCCATGGGATGAAAACAGATGCTAACTTGACTTTTCTGAACACAAACATTGAAGCTTCAAAGGACAAGGAAGTTTACCAAAATCATGCAACTAGTAGAAATAATTGGGATTTGGATATAACTGATTGATATTCTAACTGGAAGTCATAGGATAGTGCTACCAGTGTGCCTAACCCCGATCTCACTTCTCAAGGAGCAGAGAACATAGATAACTCAACATGCCCCATATGACCCCAAAACAAGGGGAAAAAAAGGAACAATTCTTAGGGGATTAGTTCCATTATTTTAATAGTGAGGTTAGACAGCATCCCCAGAGTTATCTTTAACAGTTATGCAAAAAACACTCCAGATTTCTAACAAAGACACAATATACAACTCTTCCCCCAAGTTCAACAACTGCATCCCAAGGGCTTGGCCAAGTCCTTCAAATCCAGATATCCAGAGTGACAGCCAGAGAAAAATGGAGGCTACTGTGCTAAGAGCTAGAGGAGCGGGACCTACACCCGCCTGGGGAGGCGGAGGCCATCGCCCCAGACTGGGAAAACCAGGAAGTCTCCACAGGGACCAAGATCATGGCTATGCAGTTCGACAAGGGTGTGGTTCTGGGGGCGGACTCCAGAACAACCCCTGGGTCCTACATCGCCAATCGAGTGACTGACAAGCTGACTTGTATTCATGACCGAATTATCTGCTGCTGCTCAGGTTCAGCAGCTGATAACCAGGCAGTAGCGGAAGCTTCACTTATCAGCTTGGTTTCCACAGCAGTAAGTTGAATGAGTCTTCCCTGGTACATACAACAGCCAGCCTGTTTAAGGAGATGTGTTACCGATACCGGGAAGAGCTGATGGCAGGAATCATCGCCGCAGGCTGGGGCCCTCAAGGAGGAGGGCAGGTCTACTCAGTTCCCGCGGGAGGTATGGAGGTATGATGGTAAGGCAGCCCTTTGCCATTGGAGATTCTGGGAGCTTGTATATCTGTGGCTATGTTGATGCTACCTAGCGGAAAGGCATGAACAAGGAGAAGTGTCTACAGTTCACTGCCAGTGCTCTAGCTTTGGCCATGGAGCAGGATGGTTCCAGGGGAAGGGTGATCCTCCTGGCCGCCATTGAAGAATCAGGAGTTGAACAGCAGGTACTTTTGAGAGACCAGACACCCAAATTCACTATTTTCATTTTACCACCCCTCTGATCCTGAGATTCTGGGCTGCAATACCAATACCCTAGAATGATTCAAAATTTAATAAACAGTTTGTCAAAGTCAAAAAAAAAAAAGAAAGAAAGAAAGAAAGAAAGAAAGAAAGAAAGAAAGAAAGAAAGAAAGAAAGAAAGAAGTGGCAGCCAGAAGGACACATGTGAAAAAACTGAAGCAACACTTGAAAAGAGAGGAAGAAAAGGGGTAGCTGCTCCTGATGCTTAGCACAGTTCAGCGAAAGCAGGTGCAGCTGGCTGCCTCGTTCTCTCTAATGGACTGATGCTGGGCTCTCCCCTGACCGCCCCCTTGCTATGTTGATTAGAAGAGACTGAGCCTGTAAAGGAAACCACCCTCACCTGAGCATGGCTCGCAATCGCTTGCTAAGTACTGTTTTTCTTGTTACAGCTCCCATGGAGGCAATCAGGCGGATCCCAAACCAACATGGTAGATTGAATGTCCCAGTCTGATCTGGTTTGCAACAAACATACCAGACCAAATACCTTCAGCTCAGCCAAAAGGCACCAGTGTGCTGAGGCTCCCTTTCTCTGACAGTGACTGGAAAGGCAAGTAATGTGAGGTAGAGTGACAAAACCATATATATGTACAAGTATGTGTGTGTGTGTGTGTGTGTTAGTGCTTACATGTGTTCATATATTCATTTGATAGTGACTTCAGTGAAGCTGCTGCAGATCCATTAACTCAGTTTGGGAGTAAATTGCACCTGAATTGCTCACTCCCATTTGCTTTATGCTGCTCTGAGATTGCTACCTTGAGCATAGTAGGAGAAGAGGAAATAAGCTTCCTGTTTGCAAAAGGCGCAAAACAAGCAGTTGCCCTTTAAGAGCAACAAGCAGAGTATCTCGTACATAACTCCTTTTAGCTTGTTTGTTTAGGAAAGCAGGCCAGCACTTAATGAAGCTTTCCTTTGGTCCTGCACATGTGCTACCTCAACCACAGGAAAAAAAAATTTCCAATCAGAAGTGAGCGAATGTTTAACTTGAAGGAAGTATTCAAAGACAGACCAGGAGCCGGCATGTGGCTCTCACTTCCCATCAGGGAGCGCTGGTGCCTGTCAACCCCAACTCCCAAATTATCACGCACCTGTGTTCGGCTCACGGGCACTGTTATTCAGCGTCTTTATTTGAGTTCATCACCAAGGAACTTTGAAATGGAAAGAACAGAGATGATTGTACAGCCTCAGAACATTTCTGACTGGCATAGAGTTAAACATGTGGTGACTGAATGTCTGTCTTTGGAAGTTTACCTATCACCCAATACAGCAAAGAGAGGAGGAAGGGGAGTGTGAGAGAGAAAGAGACAGACAGACAGGCAGGCAGATAGACAGGCAGGGACAGAGAGACAATGAGACAGAGAGGGACAGCAACAGGAAGAAGAAGAAGAAGAAGAGGTGGGAAGAGGGAGAAGAAAAGGGAAGGAAAGCAGCCAGGGAAGGAGGGAGGGAGGAAAGGCAAATTTAACTAAAGAGGAATTAGGTCAGGAAGCTCAACTTCTAGTCTGCAAGCATGTATTCAGAAAAGGAATAGAAGTGGAAGATGAAATACACATTAAAATTCACTACAGAAGAGATAGTAATAGCTTTACTATTGGTTTAATCAGGGAATCTGAATAAATTCAGTTGGACCATTTGCCAACACTTTACTGGAGTCTCTGATATTTACCAACCACTGTTGTCATAATCGGACTCTTGGGGTGCTCAATAGCCAGGTCAGAAATGAACGATGGTGGGTTCTCTTGTGGATTTAGGTCTTGAGCCCGATGCTATGGGGCTGCTCCAGAAAGGTTCTGCAGCCTGCTTCTGCTGGGCTTAGCACAGCTTTACTGTTTTAGTGGAGTCTGCACAGCTCCTGTCATGTAGCTTCACACTTGACAGGATGGAGATGGAGCAAACAATAGGTACTTAATCAGAATCAAATGACCAATAATTCAAATGGATATATATATATATTATATATATAGCACCACAGGTCTTCTGGCAACCTTGTATAACACACAGGGGTCAACATGGGAGTGATAGATGGAAGATTACAGAAGCCTCAGAAGCCAATGGGCTGAAAGTGAGATCCTGGTCTATGAGGAAGGTGCTGACCACTTTAAAGCTAACCCAGGTGGATGGAGACTTAAGTAAGTGTTTGCAAAAATACCGGGGAGCCTGGGCCAATAATAGCTGTTTGGAATGTCGCAGGAATTCAGGTGGCTAACCATCCGGACCTCACTTTAGATTGAGAAGGCAGTTCTTTCCTTTCAATTAAATTGACCTTGAAATTGGAAGCCATGCTCCTTTCCGAAGACAAGATTTCCCTGTGAAATACCAAGTACCATTAAGAAGGAAAGGGAGGCGCTCTTGTTCTCTATGGTCTTGTGTCCAATAGGCCACAGCCTTCCAGAGATGGGAAGGTAATAGAGGAGAATATGTGGAATTTTTTAGTCTAAATTTAACTTGCCACATGGTAAATAAGAAAATGCCCGATGAGTGGAGCATGAAATTTATGAGGGTTAGTATCTCCTGTAGTCCTAAGAATGACTAAAAAACCAATTAAGTCCATACTCATATTTAACTATGATGCCTCCTCAAGGGGGCTTGGTATTTTCATTTATAGGCTTGTGCATGTCAGTTTTACATTATTCACTTGATGCATCAGCTTAATACATATAATAAGTATATAAAATATTAACACCTATATTTTTATATATTGCTTTAGCAAATTAAAATAATTACGAACATTTATTCTTTCATGCAGGCTCTAAAGGAATTCAGAAGGTACTTAACTTCCTTGTGGTCTTCCATGAGGCCATGCACAATCTTCTGGATGTGCTGTAGTCCTCAGTAGACATGATTAGGCTACTAAGTTCAACTTCTAAGCAAGCAGACCATGCCAGCCAGCGGGAAACACTCTCAGTTCCTTGCCATGTGGCCCTCTGTGGAAGACCTCTTTTGCATATCTACAGCACAGCAACTGCTCCTCCCAAATTCTACCAACAAGAGATGACTACTCATATGTAAATAAATTAGAACTGCAGTTTCTTGTTTAATAAGAGTCCTAAAGCAGATGGTTACAAAAGTACTACAGTGTCTTCAATAACTCATGAGGCACCAAGAGTTCTTCTACTGCACTCCCCTACCATCCTTACTTAGTACAGTGCCTTGCAGTTGCCTCCTTGCTGAACATGGCTACCAGAGATGCAGCCATCTGTCCACAGTCCGGCCTAAAGTCGGAGGGGCTCACATCAGTAGAAGGTCTGTTCATAACTCCAGCTTCCATCACACTTATTGAAGTTTCCCGACACTGGGGTTAGCTCTAAAGTGGCCAGTACCTTTGTCATAGATTAGGATCTCCACAATGGCTGCATTGTCTTATAATGGAACCTGAAAAATATGTCTTTTGTGTAATCATTTTGCTGTTTCAGACAAAATCAGCTTTTATAACCAAGGTAAAAAAAATAAAAAAATGATTTGGGATCCACAATAGTTTCTATCAGATATGTTTTATAGAATTCCTGGGAAGTGCTTGATTTGACAGCACACATACTAAAACTGGAATGATAGAGAGAAGATTAGCAAGGTCCCTGCACAAGGACAATATGCAAATTTGTGAAGCGTTCCATATCTTTTCTGAATAACTACTACAAAGACAACAATACACAATGTATTATTTATTGTAACTATCCTACTAACCTGGTTTTGAAACTATTCCATTGCTATTTTATCTTTTTTTCTCATTAAAATGAATAAAAAATTAAAAAAAAAGAATTCCTGGGAAGTTTTATTACACCAGTATTCCTGCATGATATTATCATAGACTGACATGTATTTTTTTTTAAATTGATGATACAAGGTCAGAGTAGGGATGAATGGAAAGAATAGGAGGTGTGAAGTTGCCACAGCCTAAGAGATGCTTTGTCTTTGGTAAAATATGCACTACCACCGGAATTATTTTACCATGAGGATCAGAAGGTTGCCATGTTCCCCGAGGAGTTTTGTGGTTCCAGGAAATGAACTGAACAGGATACCTTCTTTATAGCAGTGCCCGCTCCCCATGGGTGATCTCTTGCCAGCGTGACTGGGGACCTATTTGAATCATCAGCTGAAATTCAAAGCTGTCTTTCCATGCTCTCTCCCTGACATTTATGGGGAGAGCTGGATTCTTTGCCTAGTAAACTGCAAGGCATTATCAACAGTGCTGTTAGAACATGGTGCAGAGGCCAACAGAGTATTATTTATGCCGATGGAAGTAGAAAATCACCTTTCCTTTGCACTCAAATAGCATAATAAATGCGTGTCAAAAGTTTGCACACCTTGAAAAAGAATCTTACAAATTTCTGAGAGGATAGGATTATATACCTGCCTAACCACTGCAATATAAGTCCCTTTTAAAATCAAATGATTCCTGAGCTCCCCAGCACAAGGCTGGTGGTGAAAAGACAGTGACAATATTAAAATTTAATATGTCCAATATTGTCATGCCACGATAAATCAACCAGTAAAAAGCAGCAAGGTTTATTTTCTCTTACTCCTAAAAAGAGCTACAGTGTTTAAACTTGAATGGATGCTAGGTTACGATTATGAGTCAGGCTAGTGAAAAGTACAAATCTGTGTCTTGAAAGCTCTCAAACCAGTCTGTGCCAAACAGTTTATGTAATACACAGTGTTGCGCTCTGTCAGTGTCGATGAAGATTTGCTTCTTTTACTAATTTAACAGACTATAAAGATGACAAGTTTGGAACCTGAGATAATGATACAATGAAAGTGCTGAATAGTTCCATCTTTTTGGCTTCATGCAGCTTGCAAAAGGTTTCCTTGCTTTACTTTCAGACCATATCATGTGGAAATTAGTTTGCCTATTTATTAGTAATAGAGGAAAGCTGAGGCTCAACGGAGAAAGTCTTTTGGCAAGAGGATTTTAAAGCCTGCATCTATAAACTAGTTCATGTAGTCTCCACATCCAGTTTGGAATCTGACAAACTTGATTTGAATCTTTCCTCTGCTGCTTAGCAAGAGTGGGTAGCCTTGGGCATGCTTCTAATTCCGACTGAAATTCACTTCATACCTGTGACTATTCAGGTGCGAGATAGCCCACATCGCAAGATCAGTGGGAGAAAAACCTTATGGGCCTTTTTGGGGGGGTCAGTACTGGATCAGTACTATCCTCTGCCATTTCTGAATCTTAAAATCAGGATTCTGTACCTACAGTCTGCACGCTTTCACACCAAATAGGTCTTTGATCCGTTTTCTTAGTTCATTAGTCTAGAAGATTAAATAGATCCATGTGTAGAGTGATTAATGGCGCAGTGCACCTGTAAGGCTTCATTGCTGCTAACTCTTATCATCATCATCATTATTATAAAGGGATTCTGGGTTCCATCTACAGCACTACAGGAGATCATAGGGATGACCCTGACCCCACCGATTTCTCATTATGGCACAAAGGGGGAGGGAGAGGGAGTATCTTACAGAGCATCGCTGTTTTAGCTAACAAACTGTTTTCAGAAATCTTTTTTCCAGTGCTTTTTATTAGGATAATTAGTCACAATAAGGCCAAGTTGAGTCCCCACGAAACCCTGGCTTCCTGACCTATGTTCTGTGCTGGCTTCTGATTTATGAGAGTTCAGGGATGCAAAGGATCCAAGCATTAAAGCACAAATCTACCCTGGCCCTCAGGCTAGGGCAGATGAAAATGCTGCCACCTCCCTTGGAAAAGAAAGCCACAGGGGTAGTTGGAGCCTCTGTGGCAGAGCAGTGCTTTGCAGAAACAGCAGCTTCCTGAAGCGATGTCCAAGCAGCACGGCCTGTGTCTCCCTGCAATGATTTACTGACTAATGCAGCTGCCACACCTTCCATCACAGGCAGACTAGGACAGCAGTAGTGCTCTGTCTGATCTGATTTGTTGGCCAGTGATCAATCATCATAGCAGACAACTACAGGTGAGACAATCACATCCATGGGCACCTTCCCAGGAAGGGAGATGCAGGAGGGGTGGAGGGAAAAATGACAGATGGGTCCACATGCTGAAGCTTATTTTGTATCCATGTTCCATCACCCTTAAATAGAAAATGTAGTTTGTTTTCCCCAGGACTGAGGATAAGCATAGCAATGCTTCAGGGACTACTTTGCTGTTAAGGTTACATTTGGTGCAACATCTTTTCATGGCTTCCAGGCTTGGTACTTTCTCACTTCTAAGACAACATACTCAACAGCACGAGTTCAATGAGGGAAGGTTTGTTTTAGTTCACAGTTTGCGGAGGTTCCGGTCCATAGTCAGCTGCCTCTAAGGCAGGATACCATGGCAGAGGAGGCCTGCTCATGCCATGGCAGCGGTACGTAGCCAGACCTCCTCCTTCCTCCTCTTTTTTTTATTCTATTCAGGCTGCAAGCCCATTGGCTGGTGCCACCCACACCAGCATGGGCCTTTCCTCTTCTATAAGTCTATCATCTACTCCCTAAACTATGCTAATCCAATCAAATGATTAGTCCAGTACCCAGACCCATGATCCATTATCATAGTCCTGGTCTAATCAGCTCCCAAATCCCCACTTAAGAGTGCCTGAGACTCTGGAAGGACACTGAGATGTAAGTCATAACACCTGTAGCTGGAAAACAGCAAGGCAGCCGTGACCACCAGCTCACTGCTAGTTACTCAGCATCAAACTCTGAGCTGGATGTGTTTATCCTTTCAATTGCTAATGATGCTGCTGGAAAATTAGTAATATCATCACCAGACTGTGCATAAAAATAACCTGTAGTCAAGGTATTTATCCACATTTAGTGAACATCTACAGTGGATTAGCCACTAAGCTGGATGCTAAGGAAACTGCTGAATATGAAAGATATAGTCATTCACTACAAAGAGCCAACATACTGGTAGGCAAAAATTAAAAATAAATGAAAAAATGATGGTAAACACTGATAAGTGCTCTAAAGGAAATGAAGTGTGATTGGTTAGAGTTAATTATTAGGACAGAACCAGTCACTTCAGCTAGGATGCTCAGGAACAGATAATATTTGGGTGAAACACTCAGTGGTAAGGGGTCAGTGTGAAAACATGAGAAAGGAAAGGCTTTGAGCAGAATGAAGAGAAGTTGTTAAGACCTAAGGAAAAATCAAAAGGAAAGTACAGCAAGAAGTAACTACAGCTCATGCAGTTAGGAAACAGCATAGGTGCCTAGAAAGGCAACAAGGTGACATTATACAACTCTGTCCAAGTCACACACTTAGGAAGGGGTTAAGCAAAAGGTGTCACCCAGAACTAGCTCCACAGCTTAAGGATGATCTACTACACACTGAGATAAGCACATGGGAAAATGCCAAGGAGTCCAGCCCATAAGTTTGGGGTCAGGCTGCTGGGGTACAAACCCTGACCTTATCTGATACTAACCATAGGACTCAGCTGGCAGGCTGAAGATCAAGGAAGAGCAGATGCTTCAGTTCAAGTCTGAAGGGAGGGAAAGCTCACTGGCCCAGCTCAACTGTGGTCAGGTAGCATAAGGCCTCCCTTCACTTCAGAGAAAGGCAGACTTTTGTTCTGTCCAGACCTTCAACTGACTGGACAAGGCCCACTCACATTAGCAGAGGTTGTCTTTTAATTCCCAATCTTTTAATTCAGTTATTTCTTTTATCCAAAGTCTCAGAGACACACCTGAATAAAATTTGACCAGCATTTTGTAGTGTGAAGATATTTATTAATTTCTGTTTGATTGGTATGTTTCAATCTAGACCAGAACAACCTTGTCCTTGTTCATTTATACTCTATGGACTGATAGAATTGTAAGCAACAGAAATTTATTTTTTATAGGTCTGGAGGCTAGAAAGTTCATGAAAAAGGCTCCAACAGATCAAGCACAGGAGCTTATCAAGGTATCTTCATAAGGCAAAAGAGAAAAATAAGTTCACTGGGGTCTGTTTTATAGGGGCACTAATCCCACTTTTGAGAACTTTTCCCTCTTGAGATAATTATCGTCCACATGATTAGATCCTCAGCCCTTGATATTTTCACCTCAGGGGTTAGGTTTCAAAACATGAGTTTTGGGAGAAACACAAGTATTCAGTCCACAGCACGCTCTTACTTGTATCTGGGCCTGTCCTTAGAAGTCCATCCCTAGAAGGAGAATTGAACAACAACAACAAAAAAAGATATTCTGCATATTTGAATTGTGACAAATGTTAGCACAGGCTTGTGAGTTGCTAAGCATCCAGAGCTAATAACACTACCCAGACTATTCTCTGATTAATTTTTAATATAACATTAGTTTAGGAAAATCTTACAAACTTGACCAAGAGTAATCTGGAAGCAAAAGAAACACCCAACATCAAGGGCCTCAAATGCCATTGTCCAATAAGGCCAAGCTCCTGCCCTGAGCTTCCGGGAACAATAGACGCATGGTCATGGCTAAGCATCGGTTTCAGGAAAGAGAAGAGGAGCTTTTGTTTCTACTCCCCTCTGCACCATCCCCCAGTCCAGCTCCAAGGGCTTGATCCTCCCTCAGTGCAGATCCCTAGGGATACTGGCCCTGACTGCAGTACAGCTTACAGAGTCAAAGGGGAAAAGTTCATGAGTAGGTGACCAGACCACCATCGGCAGTCACTGAGGTTGATTCACCTCCAACAAATCACCTGA